GGTGAAAGGGGGGGGGGGTGGTCATGTGAGATCAACCATCCTAGATAGACTATAGTTTCAATTCATAAAGCTAATGCACCAGGACATGAATCCTTTTTTTCAGCTTGGTCCATGAGATTTAAAAATTAAAGTTACTTTGACAAAAACAAAAATCCTTTTCCTTGCATTCAAGCTTTGTGAATTGACCCTATGACTACCAACTCTATTTTGTACATCAAAAAACTAGGAGGCTGACCCTCTGCATAGGTGAGAGATATGGGACTCTTCTCATTTGTTTCTATGTGTTGACCAAATCTATAGATTATGAAATATAATATTTCTCTGATATGATTTGGTAAATTACGAGTTATTACCCAGAAGCAAAAGGTTTAACACAACAACCAAAATGTATTGGTGAATAGTATGGAAGTCTAAACTAACAGAATCAATCTATCTAGTTACATAAAAGAAATATTATTAAGAAAGCGCTAACATATTACAAAATACAAACAGTGAGACAGAAAAGACATAAGACACACATTTAGATATAAGTGGATATATTCCATAATTACCATGGAACTGTACGTACGGGTTCCATTCTCTTAACTGGTGTTCCAAAAAGAGCCTCTCTCTCTCTAGAGTCTATTGTTATAGGCCTCTCCTCCATTCGTTTTCATGGAGTACCTCTGATTGGTTAGCAAATTTATTTCCTTTCATAATTGGCTAATTTCAGATCCCCTGTATTTAGCATACACCAACCCCTTTTAAGGCAAATCTTGACGCATCCTTTATGGAATGTAAGTATGCCAGTTCATGACCTTTTCCTGGGAAATTAAAGTATTCATGAAAGGCTGGCTACCTTCATTGCATATCTAAATGAGGGATCCTTTTGAATTGGATATTTGTGAAGCCAACAGGTTTGGGTCCCATTGTTAGATAAACTAACTCCAAACCATCTGAAACAGCATTCTCAGCAAAGGAGTGTCAAGACTTCTGTTACACAGTAAAGAAGGTGTAATTAATAGAATATTCCCTCTGGCAACTTAAACCATCCCCAACTATCTGTAGAACAGAGATTTATGGGAAGACATATTATACACCCACACTGATACAGCTCTAACTAATATATATTCATAATTACAATATTATTTACAGTGGTTAATGGAGATTTCACATAAACTCATTATCTAACATATGGCAGTCCCTTCGTTTTGCTGGGCCTTGAGCATTTCAAGTGGTACACCCAACTGAGAATATCTTATCATGAGATAATAACAGATTAATTTACCTGTAGAAATGCTGAGGTGATAGGTAAGAAGGTGGAATGAGTTTGAACTCATGGTGTTCTAAATTTGAAAAACAGAAAACTAATGCTGTTGTTCATCCTCATAGCACTCCCTGGCTTTTGAACTGCACTATGAACCGTAGTCAAATGCCTGAAAAGGTCAATAATGGGTCTATGTACCAGACCCTTTTCTATGAATTTCAGAGTTTATAGCTGTTTTTATCAGTGTGTATGGAGACCAGAAATACATAGGGGCAGCTCACAGCATGTTTTCAGAGAGAGATGTCTGGTATAGAGTGCTATCCTGTGCTATACACAGCACTATAACATGCTGTGTGTTGCTCAATTTCTACAGTCAATTGCAGTGTGGTGGGTCACATAGTCTGTACCCTCCCTTGTGTTCAATGAACTGTATTGTGATACATAGTTGTGAATTTCAGTGTGTTGGTTGATGTTTGTTCCCATCTGCAACTTATTGGCAAGCTGCTATTTGTTTACCTAAAAGGCCACCCTTCCCCTCCCCTCACCCAGAATATGGAAGCTATTGTCTCTGTGTAGCTGGAGTAAATAGCCAATGGCAGGGTCCACAAGACTACAGCCATGTGGTCCAGCAAGCATTGCAGGGACTGTACATTTAAATTGCTAGTGACTAGGAATGATGCAGGATGGAAAACACTACTGAATCTGGTTGTGCCCTCCCCCATGCTCTGCATCTTGGTGATAGTGACAGCATAGTCACCTCTACTCCCAGCTCTTCAATGACCTCATCTGGTTAGTCCTCAGAACCATTTTTCGACCAAAAGCCTATGCAACGGCCCAGGGAACATGCTACTAGATTATCTTCCAGCTGGCATTTCCATGTAATTACTCTTCACAGCAGCTGTTCATGAGCTGTTTGAAAGATGGCTCACCCTATGCCATTATGTGCTAGGCAAAGTTGTGTGCAACAATAACACTAACCTGCTCACTGCCCTTCAGCAGGGAAAGACTTGCTTGGCATAATTCCTAAAGCTGGTGGAACAGCAAAATCATATTACACTGCTCAAAAAAATTAGGGGCCATTCAATGGTATAATTTCCTTCATCCTCCAGGAACTGCCTACATATGCTACATGAGGCCAGGCATTTTCGTGCACCAGGAGGAAGTCAGGACCCACTGCACCAGTGTAGGGTCTCACAATGGGTCCAAGGATTTCATGCTGATACCTAATGGCAGTCAGAGTGCATTGTCTAGACTGTAGAGATCTGTGTGTCCCTCCATGGATATGCCCCCCCAGACCATCACTGTCATGCTAAACGATGTTACAGGCAGCATAACGTTCTCCACGGCTTCTCCAGACCCTTTCACATCTGTGACATATGCTCAGGGTGAATCTGCTCTCATATATGAAAAGCACAGGGCGTCAGTAGCGGTCCTGTCATTTCTGGTGTTCAATGGCAAGTGCCAATCAAACTCTATGGTGCTGGACAGTGAGCACAGGGCCTACTAGAGGATGTGGGGCCCTCTGGCCACCCTCATGAAGTCTGTTTCTGATTGTTTGGTCAGAGACATTCACACCAGTGGCCTGCTAGAGGTCATTTTGTAGGGACTCTGGCAGTGCTCATCCTGTTCCTCCTTGCACAAAGGAGCAGATATTGGTCCTTCTGATGGGTTAAGGGGGTTAAGGACCTTCTATGGCCCTGTCCGGCTCTCCTAGAGTAACTGCCTGTCTCCTGGAATCTCCTCCATGCTCTTGAGACTGCTGGAAGACACAGCAAACCTTCTGGCAATGGCACGTGACACTGACCCTAGCCAAATGCAGAACTAGTGAAAAACGGTCAGAAAAGATGAACAGGGAAAACAATGTCTGTGGCCTCCACCTGTAAACCCATTCCTGTTTTGGGGGTCGTCTCATTGTTGCCCATGTAGTTCACCGCTTATCAATTTCATTAACACCAAAGCATCTAAACTGATTAACGACCCCCTCTGCTACTTAACTGACCAGATCAATATCCCAGTTTAATTGACTTGATGCTATACTCTGATTAAAAAGTGTTCCTTTAATTTTTTTTTTTAAGCAGTGTACTATGGGGTTATTTACTAAAACTTTAGAGTGCAAAATTTGGTGCAATTCTGCATAGAAACCAATCAGCTTCCAGGTTTTATTGCCAAAGCTTAATTGAACAAGCTGAAGTTAGGAGCTGATTGGCTACCATGCATAGCTGCACCAGATTCTGAGTGCGCCAGTTATAGTAAATGTACCCCTATGTATGGGGTCAAAATATTTTTGCTAAATATTGTATTTGAATGTTGACTTTTGGATTAAATGCTGCCTGATGCCTACCCTTTTAAAACTGCAGCCAACTATAGGTGCTTGAATACTATGTATGGGGGTCAATGAAATATTTATGTCTTTTTTCTGTGAAATAATAATCTTTAGAATTGATTTTTTTTTAAATGAAAACTAGAAAATGTTTAAATACTGTGTACTGAGTCAGTACAATGTTTATGGCCTTTTCTGTGGGATACAGTATATACACTCTAACGTTATTTTTTTTATTTAAAAGCTGTCTAGAGTTTTTTTTTTTTTACACACAGCCTCCTACACAAGCTTAAATACTGTGTGTAGATTCAGTACAATATTTTTTTCCTTTTTTTGTATATATTTACACTCTGTTATTTTTGAAAAGATGCCCAGTGTCTGTATGCTTCAATAAGAAACCTGCAAAAAGTACTTAAAGCTGATATCCAGGTTTCCTTTAACTTTAAATAATTCATTAGGACCAAGCTCAGCCATTCAGAGGAAGCTTTATATTCTTTGAATAATTATAAAGCTTCCTCTGATTGGCTGAGATGAACAGGCCGACTGATGAAATCACAAACTCTGCCTCAGCCAAACAGAGAAAGAATTGTATTCATTCATAGAATGCAAAACTTCCTCTAAACACCTAAATAGTGGTCAGCCCAGAACACAGCTCTGTATACAGGCGCTCGCAGCCTCTGCAACTATTAGCCACTTGCCTACCAGGCACTTATACCCCCTTATTTACCAGGCCAATTTTCAGCTTTCAGCGCTGCCGCACTTTGATTGATTGACAATTGCGCGGTCATGCAACATTTGTACCCATATGAAAATTTGATAATTTTTTTCTCACAAATAGAGCTTTCTTTTGGTGGTATTTAATCGCCACTGGGCGCTTTACTTTTTGCGCTATAAATAAAAAAAGTGCAAAAAATTTGAAAAAAAAAAAAAAGTTTCTTTGTTTCTATTATAAAATTTTTCAAACAGGTATTTTTTCTCCTTCACTGATGTGCGTTGATGAGGCAGCACTGATGGGCACTGATAGGCGGCACTGATGGGCACTGATAGGCAGCACTAAAGGGCACTGATAGGCAGTACTAATGAGGTGGCACGGATAGGCGGCACTGATAGACAGCACTAATGAGGTGTCACGGATAGGCGGCACTAATATGCAGCACTGATAGGCGGCACTGATAGGTGACACTGATGATGGGTACTGATAGACGGCACTGACTGGCATCACTGCTGGGCACTGACTGGCGGCACTGACTGGCACAACCATTGGGCACTGACTGGTGGCACTGACTGGCAGCACTGCTGGGCTGCACTGGTGGGTGGCACTGGTGGGTGGCACTGGTGGGCGGCACAGGTGGGTGGGCACAGGTGGGTGGCACTGGTGGGCACAGGTGGGTGGGCACAGGTGGGTGGCACTGGTGGGCACAGGTAGGTGGCACTTCTGGGCACAGGTGTGTGACACTGCCGAGTGGCACAGGTGGGTGCACTGCTGGGCACAGGTGGGTGATCTGCTGGGCACAGGTGGGCGCACTGCTGGGCACAGGTGGGCGGAACTTGCGGGTGGCACTGCTGGGCACCGATCATCAGGGCACTGATCATCAGTGACCTGATGATCGGTGCCGATCCCCGCTCTGACAACTGCCGGTTCTCGGCAGTACTTTCCTCACGATCTGACAGCGTGAGGAAAGTGCAGCCGAGAACCGGCACTTGCATATCCCTCTGATCAGCGTGTCATTGGACACCGCTGATCACGTGGTAAAAGGCCGCTGTGATTGGCCTTTTACCACATCACGTGATCAGCTGTGTCCGTAGGACATAGCGATCACGGAGATCGCCGGGTGCGCGCCCCCTGGGGCGCGCAGGAGAGCGCGTTCTGGGAGGACATCCACTCACGTCCACTCAGAACTGGCCGGCCGCAGTGCAGCCGTCATTCGGCTATCTGTGGTCGGCAGGTAGTTAATGAAGTAGAAAGTTCATTTGGACCAGCTTGATTGATACAAGTTAAGGTTAAATAAAACCTGGAGATCAGCTTTAAGTACAGCCTATGGAGTCTGTAAAATATTTCTGGCATGTGTGTCTGAAATAATATACTGTGTTTTGATATTGTGATAAAACCTGCCTGATCTTTTGCACTGAAACCAGGGGCGGACTGACAACTCATGGGGCCCCCGGGCAATAGGGGATCATGGGGCCCCTGTGTCCTTGCCCAAACTGAAAAAAGCCTATGAAAAAGGTACCAGAGTCATCTCATGGGGCCCCCTACTGACCCCGGGCCCTCAGGCAGTGCCCAAGTTTCCAAATGGTCAGTCCGCCCCTGACTGAAACTGAGTTCTAATAAAAATGATGACGTTTTGTACATGAAGTCTGTACAATATTGCTGGCTGTTTTGTCAGAAATAATACATTCTAACTTTTTATTTTGTAAAACAAAATGCCCAATCCCTTACTTTGCAGCCCAAGCTGTGCTATGTGTTTGTATTTATTTAAGTGATATTTTACAGGTATTTTTATAACAGTGCAACAGCTTATGTAGCACTGTATTTACCATCCATTGACATCAGTCCTGTCCTCACAGAGCTTACAGTCTAAGGTCCCTCTTGCATACGCATGCATACATACCTGTATAAATACAAGGACCATCTTAGACAAGAGCCAATTAAACTACCAGCATGTCTTTGGAGTGTGGGAGAGACTGGAGTACTGGAGTCCACAAGCACAGGGAAAACACAAAGTTCCATGTAGATAATCCTTCAAAGTAGTCAGTACTATAGCCAATGATGTCACTGGTGCATTCTCAGCACTCTCTGGATTCATGGCACGCTGAGTGTGATGAGAATGCAAAGTGCACTGTACCGCAATAGCTACTCCCTTGCATATATGTGGAAGTGAAGTCATCCCAGCCTGGCCATTCAAACAGTAGGAGAGCAGAAACCTGGAAGGAAGACCAAGCAAAGATGGAAGTACTATCAATGGTGAAAGCACAGTGCTAGAGGGCTAAGTTGGAAAGGTAAATCTGTTATAATGTGCTAGTAAGTTGAGACATAATACTACAGGGGTCCATTTACAAAAAAAATAAAAGCAAATAAAAAGGGGGACCCTCTCCCCACTGTGTATGCAAAGAAAAAAAGAACAAACTGCAGAAGCGCACAACAAGTCCCAGCTTCAATCTCCCCTGTAATGGCTTGGTTGAGGGGAGAGGATATTACAAGAATGCAAGGAGATATTTTCCACAAAGTCTGTATTGCCAGAGTCCTGCAGCTTCCTTTCTAAATCCGGGCTGATCCACCAGAGCGCAAAGGACAAACACACAGGAGTGCAGGATCCCAACTACAATACACTGTAGCATTTATTAATAAAATAAACAAAACACACATCAAGTATTTGTATAAAAGCAGCACTTATTACCCCCTCAACTTTGACCAGGTCATTACAGTGGACATTGAAGCTGGGACTTGTGCGATTCTGCGGTTTGTTCTTTTTTCTTTGCATATACTGTCTTTGGATTGTTGTTAGCTGCACTAGTCTCGACTGCTTCTTTAGTTTATATTATGGAATTCTATACGAACATTGATTCCCAAAGGTGAGCAGCCACAGCAATGTACAGTCTTTGTTATGCCATTCCCTGCTCTCTGCTGCTATACAGAAGCCTAGATGTAAGTGTGCTTTGTTTATTTTATTACTAAATACTACACATTCTGATTGGGATCCCACTCACCTGTGTGTTTATCACCCCACTGTGTGGTTTTACTTTTTTTTTTGCATTGGCACATGGTTCCGCATGACACTGCCCAGCTTCCCATGACATACAATATATTAGAAAATTCTATGCTTTTTAGCCTTTAAAATGGAAATAATTGATTCAAACCTCCCCCATAGTATTTAGTGGGGTAGGAAACAACATTCGCAACTTTCAGATTCAATGATTAGTTCCTTGATCGGCCCATAAGCCAAACCCAGGTCAATTTGCTCATCGCTAGAAATTAGGATGATCACTATGTTCAGTTATTAAGTAGACCAGATTAATAAAATATTAAATAAACATTGGTGTCTTTTACAAGCAGACAATAAATTAAAATCAATTGTAGGAGAGAAACCTTGGATAACATTTAGAAGGACCAGATCTTTGAAAAATATCAATACTAAAAAAAAAATCACTCTCAACAAAAGAAAAATCAATCTGAATAAAAAGGAGAGAATAGAAGGTCTAGATAGAAGAGCGAATAGAATGTATCACAAGGCAGATTGTTCTACAGATTTTGTGAATTATTTTTAGGGTGTCTAAAATGCAATGATTTGCTCTTTAAAGAAAAGGATCTATAAACATCAATATGATATAAAAACAGGGAACATGTGCTCTATGATCGGCCATCATTTCAATTTAGAACATAATTGGACCTCAGAGGATTTTTATAGAGAGGATTTGGACTGAATTCATACAGACTTCGAGGAGGTGATGTGCATATAAATTTGCTAAGACTAGAGAGTTGATGAATACGGTATATAGATTCAGAAGCAAAATCCTAACTGGATTGTGATGAAAACTAGTAACATACAAACGTGTTAGGGACCAAAGAAAAACAAAATATCACAGCATCTTGTTACAGTACTTCTCTCAAGAACCCTCAGCTTTAAAGAAAACAGTGGGCTGGCTCTTGGGAGGAGTTCAAATGCCTTGATAGGTAGATGTCAGTCTGGAGGAGCTCCAGCAAGGAATTGGGCTCTAACTAACTTGCTATAGCTTTTAATGTACACTGTGCAAAACTCATAGTGTACAGTGAAATCAGAGTAAGCAATTTCAGTACAGGACAGATACCTTCAAAACTGTGCAAGAGTGAAGGTAAAACTAGAGTTAAGCTTTAATTTTGCACAGCAGAAACTACTGTTAATTCTTTTATTTATGTTTTTTGCATAAAAACACAAAGTACAAAATACAAACAGCTTGTGGGCTTGGTACAATATAGAAAAAAGAGTAATACAGTGGAGATGAAGCACTGTTTGCCCATTCTGGTGATACATGTAATGGCATAAAGAGCAGATGTGACAACTTTCACTTAATCGAGCACACTTGTGCCTGCCTTCTCCCCCCAAGTGCATACCACAACCCAAAAGTACATACAAACATTACATAAAAATTACATTCAAAGAGGGCACCGCTGAATAGGAAAGCCATAGAGGATTCCAGCCATGGGTTCCAGATTTTCTGGTGCATGTTTCGCCCTCATATATTATTATGTACTTATTTAATTCTGCATCAATCACACAAAAGACTTGTGTTAGAGGAGCTGGGAGAGGCAGAATATTTTCCTGGTAAGAAGGAGGCCATGGAGGATTCTAGCCATGGGTTCCAGATTTTCTAGAATTTTCTGGGGCATGCTTTGCCCTCATATAATATTTTGTACTTTAGTAATTCTGCTTCAATCACACAAAAGACTTGTGTTAGAGATTGGGGGGTTAGGATTTTTTCCAGGTGAGCAAAACAGATTTCCTTGCATGAAAGAATATCAGTTAGTACATGATCCATTCATGAACCAAAATCATTTTGCATACCAAGCAAATATACTTCCTATGTTCTGGGGCTGGAAGCCAAGGTTAATTCTTTATAAGGCATTGTATAGTGCATCCCAAAAGGTGCTAATCTGAGGGCAGGTCCAGAGGATGTGCTATAAGCTAGCTGAAGAGTCCCCACATCTGACTCACTGGACATTTGGGATAAGGCCCATATGATGTAGCCTGTCTGTTGTATACCACAGATGATGAATTAAATTGAATTGTATGAATTGATCTGATGTATTGATTATGTCAGCAAACCAAGTGTCTGTTGCCTCCTCCCATCCATCCTCAGAAATATCTGGTATAAATCAATGCAATTTTTTTGTAAGAGAGTGTGGGGGGTCCTGCAGCTTGCAAGGTTTGATAGAAGGTGGCAGCCAACTTAGTATGATTGTCCACAAACAGAGTCTGTTCCATAGGTCAGGGAGCCAGTGTTGGAGATAGGGAAATGAACTGGGTATGTATAGTGTACCGTATTATCAAATATTTGAAGAAAAATATATTAGGGACATCTGTAAAGGTCCGCAGATCTGCAAAAGAGAGAAAAAGAGTTCCTAGTGAATAGATGTGATATGTGAGTGACTCTCTTAGAAGTCCACTTGGCAGAGTCTTGATGAGCCAAAGAAGAGCATTACCCCACAACAAGTGAGATAGTACGTTTGTAAGCCAAGCCAAGCAGTAGACATCCAGAGGAGATTTTCTGTTGCAAGAATGCATGTTGAGGCTAAATAGTCTGTCAGTGAGGACCTGGGGAGAAGTCATAAGTGCTACAAGTAGAGCAGCAGCTGGGCTAGCTACAGTTGATTTTCATAAAGCACAGAATAATTTCTCCTTTAAAGCCTATTCTCCTGGCATCACCGTGGACATGAACTGGCCAGTGCTCCTAAAACAGTCAAGTTCCCTGATTAAAAAATGATTACCGGTAATGTTGATTAAATTTACTTAAATTTAGCTCCTGGACAAAGTAAACAAACAAATAAATAAATACATAAATAAATAAATAAGCAAATATATTTAATTTCCAGCTTGCAAAATGGTGGTGTGATGTAATAGCAGTAAAATTGTGAAATAGTTTTCCATTGGAACTGGTTGAAACAGATTGTTCTAATATAAGGCTTTGATATAAGCAAAAGAGTTACTTAAAGTGATTCTAGATGCATTTTTATAAGAAACATGTTATAGTTATCTGCTCTGTACAATGGTTGTGCACAGAGCAGCCCCTTCTAGGGTCCCCCCACTGGCACTCCTGGCTTCTC